ATGACCTATATACTAGGCTGGGAGTGGTGTATAGTAGCACATGGCCTATATACTACGCTGAGAGTGGTGTATAGCAGCACATGGCCTATATACTAGGCTGAGATATGTGTACAGCAGCACATGGCCTATATACTAGGCTGAGAGTGGTGTACAGCAGCACATGGCCTATATACTAGGCTTAGAGTGGTGTATAGCAGCACATGGTCTATATACCAGGCTGAGAGTGGTGTATAGCAGCACATGGCCTATATACTAGGCTGAGAGATGTGTACAGCAGCACATGGCCTATATACTAGGCTGAGATATGTGTACAGCAGCACATGGCCTATATACTAGGCTTAGAGTGGCGTATAGCAGCACATGGTCTATATACCAGGCTTAGAGTGGTGTATAGCAGCACATGGCCTATATACTAGGCTGAGAGTGGTGTATAGCAGCACATGGCATATATACCAGGAATGGAGTGGTGTATAGCAAAAAAATGAAAAAATAAGATCATGGCAATTTTTTTAAGAATGAGAATAAAAAAACCATGCATGCATGCATCAATTTTTCGAAAAACAAATTGATCAGAAACTGTTTTTTTTTTATTCTGTGGCTTAATGTTGCAAACAAATCTTCATGATACAACACAAAATTAAAAAAAAATAACCTGACAGAAAAACCCAAATTTTATCTAACCTAAATGCGATATATTATATGGCTTAATGTTGAAAAATAACTGCACCTGAAATGAATGGCATGGTAGGCAATAAGAATTAAATCATAAAATATGATATTTGATTTTCACCATCAATGCATAATCTCAAGTTCCATTCACTGTAAATCACCCATAATAAATTAGGATATCCAGGAAAACCAACTCTCATCTATCTGAATTGTGTTTACTTTACCTCAATAGATAGAATCTAACAAATAGTATCGGATTGCAACACCTGTGGGCCAGTTTTAAGTAGCGTGCAATTTTGCCATTAAAAGCTAGCATGCTGATAAACAGCACCGTTTCATGCCTTGCTTTATAACGTATTTCCACAATTAATGTGAATCTCTATGAACCTGTTTCACATCAAAATATTCATTACTACCCCGATTTATATTGCTTTATTAGGTGCACACATGTATAATGTAAATAACAGCGATGTGTCAAGCTCAATTTTTACTGATATCTTCAGGGTTTAATAATTTCTAGCGTGTCAAGAAACATCAATGAGACTCTGTGGATGCCCTCGCTCTCTCACATTTTCTTGAGATATTTTTCTTTCATGAAAGTCAAATTAGCGTTTACTATCAATGAATTCAATCTGACATATAAATCCACTTATACTTTAATGTGCACATACATACATGGACATTTCGGATATAAACCTACTTGGATTTAAATCGTCAATATTGACACTCTCAAATCCCGGTTTGGCTGTCTGGGAAAGTGCTTTAAAAATACAGGGATACATTTGATTTAAATCCATTTAGATTTAAATCATGTATGCTACTTAATTTTAACGATTCAGCAAAAATTATGACTCACTCAGCCTGCATGTCACCTCTGTCACATACCAGTTAACACATTATGGGGTTATTCCATCTTTATTCATTCACTCTAGTTGTATGTATCATTTGTTTTATTTTTGCCTGTTTTTATGTATTTTTTTAGAATTTAGATCAGAATTATGTTTTAGGGTGTCAATCTGTCTGCTCTTGAGCTATAAATCTTAAAATGAGCGGTAGCCTTTGACACAGAGACCAATTTGAAATTAGGGAGGCATCTGCATAGTTACCATGGAAACATCATGATCAAAATTTTGGAAAAAATATACCGGTAGTAACAATTATGTAAGTTTATTTTTAGAACAGTAATAGAAGTTGACTTTAACTAATTCAAATGATTTTCCTTTTACCGGGTAGCAATTTTTTTGGTAAAAAATAGTAACAAGCAGCCTCTCGGCTGAGATAGCTCCACTGTTAGCAATGCACATTTCAATTAAAGAACTGAAGATATCATTAGAAAATGAACAATTCTGAAAGAGGTCCACCTCTAGTACCTATATATTTAATATCAAAGCAATTGGACTTGCTGTTTTCAACAAGAAGTCAAAAATATTACTTTTTACCAAAAATATTCAGGACATTAAAATTAGAGAATTGAAGATATCATCACAAAATAAACAAATCTAAGAGGGGTCTGCCCAGGGTACGTATACCAAGTATCAAAGCTATAAGGCTTGTAGTTTGCAATTAGAAGCCGAAAAAGTATAAAGGTAACACGAACAATCACTCGTATGATAAGATCCTATATTGTCCAATGTTTGTACCAGAATGGCAGAAATTGAAAGATGAATTTTTACCATCGCCATTCAGCCATCTTAAATTGTGTCTCAAAAACGAATGGTTGTGCATAATGTACCTAAAGATACATGACATACACTGTATATGTATGTGTGAAGTTTGAATGTGGTTGGTCTTGGGATGTCTAGGCATGTCATGGGATGTCTTGGAATGTCTAGGCATGTCTTGGGATGTCTGAGATACAGGTGGGATTTAATGCATGCATATACGCAGGTCAAAACATAAATACTCAAAATAGACATTTTTGAGACACACCAAACAAAAACAAATATATCATTCAAAAATGTTAATTATAGTGCTAATAGGCAACATATGGGCAATAAAATGTGATTTCCAATGAAAAACATAGATTTGAATTAAAGTGACAATAAACATGTGACTCATCCTTAACTACAAACCAAATTTGGATGCAATGATGAGTCAATAAATGGTTAATCTGATTATCAATTTCTGATATAATTATCTTGTACATTGTTATTGGATGCCAGCTTTCCTCAGTGAAGTATCAAGAATATATAGAATATTTAGTTTATGATATAGAAACATTTGATATCACCATGAATTACAAATAATGACAGATCTAACTTCGCATCACAACAGTTACTGTTGAAATTTGAAATGACAACATTTCCTGTTTTTTGGAAAGATGAGAGTAATAGGCATATAATAATCAACCAAAAATGTTACTATGTACTCCAATATTTTAATTTCAAATTAATTTGAGTAAACAATTTGCATTTGATAATTTAAGACCCCAGAACATGATTTGATAATTTAAAGGCCGATGGTCATCGCCGTCAACGATGACAGCTTTGATTGTTGCACAGACCAACGAGGATAAACTGAGACGTTATCAAGCTTTACCTAAAGTGAAAGGTATTGAAGAGTCACTGGCAGTAATGAGTTCACGGCACGCCTGGTTCAGGACTTGTACATGTACTTCCCATTAGAAGAGTGCATTGAATTGTGGGAAAATCAATGTTTATCAACACAAATGTCGCACATGATGACCACCACCCTTTAAGGTGTTTAAGAAACATCATCCAAGTATTTAGAAATACAAAGGAACATGAGAACACTTTACTTCAAAAGGCATTAAGACAGACACAAATGATTTTTAAAAGCCTGTTAAATCATTTGAGTGCTAAGTGACATACTTGTATTCTCAAAGTCAGTAATCAATGCACTTTCAATATTTTAAATCAAAGTAACACTCACACATTCAATTTTTTTCCAGCACAAATACATAGATGTTAATAACTTTTGCAACTGGTTTGTTACAAGGTTGATTCAAAAGTTTCTTATGATGGAATTCAGTTTGGGGATATAATACCAAGATCAAAATAAATAGGAAGGAAAGTTTATTTGTGAAATGTGTTGAAAAATGATTTGGTGTAAGAAGATACAAACACAAGTACATACTTTAGGTTATTAATGTACTGTATAGGGCTTAATTATTCGCCGTTTTTGTTTCACTTTTAATATTTCTCTGACAGTTAAATTAAAACCCAGTGAATATTCAAATTAAACAATAGAACGTATTGTCTCCTCCACAAACCAGTGAATTTAAAACACACAAACATTAAAAACAGTGAATATTACACCCTCAACATTAAACAACATTACCATCAACATTAATTGATAATAACAGTTCCATATATTTAATAGCAATAAATGACATGCAAATATGCCATTTACTTTTGCATTCAAAATATGTATTAACGATTAATATGACTTTATATTATCTGAACTTGTTCAACCCCTTGTATGAATTTTGAACTTCTACATTGTAGCATGGATCGACACAATCATGAACAGAACATGTGATGTGTAACAGACCTATCATCGTGTTTGTAGCATTTCATGGCTCATTTCCATAGCTACATGTACACTGTCACAGGCATTACACTGTAAATGTATTATATCATATTTGGTAACAGTGAACATTATACTGTATAAGGATAGGAAAGTTAGCAACATTTTCATATGCCATTGTAATGTTAAATTGAAGAACTTTAACAGCAAAAATCTTACAGTTTCTACAGTAGGAACAACAACACAGAGACTGTTTTATTCAAAACCAGTGAATATACATGCATGTGTGAATATAAGGAATATTCAATTGTGCCAGAAGACACCATTTGTGAAGTGTACAATAGCAAGGTGTGCAGTCATATGTACTTGCATGAACAATGAGGAAGATAGTTACTACATTCATCACTCATGATAAATATAATGACCTCCGAGTCCTACTACACACTGAGAAAAAGTAGTGCACATTTTAAATGTAGACGTAACAACCACAAAAGAAAATGGATTTCCTTAGATCATTGAAATTACAGCTCAGGTACCTTTTTACTAATCATTAAAAGTATGTACACTGTATATATGCATTAATAATGGTTGCTAAAAGCGGAATGAGGTGTAGACGCTTAAAGCGGTTATTAAATTATTACATCTACAAGAAGAAGATAATGACAAAGGACAATCAAAGGTCTCAGAAAGCTGTAACACTGATAAAGGTTATACCATTATGTATGCAGGGGGTAAGCTATAATAATGGTTGAGAAAATTAACAGCTTACCATGTAATCAATAAAAACTTATACACAAACTATTGATGTTGCATAATCTCATGAATATGAACAATATACTCACTTCTGTGCCAGATGATATTTGTACACTATGTGACTCTTTTGTTGGTTGTCTTCGTAACCTTGGTGATGCTGATGGTGATACTGATGGTGATGCATATGGAGAATATGGAAGCGATGGAAAAATCGGTCGAGAAAGTTTTGGTTTGTTTATTGAAAGGTGGTCATCAGAGACACTGAGTCTGTTGTCATCTTGCAGGACACCTGTGTCATTGATGCTAAGATGTGGAGTAATCCTCAAAGCTGTGTTCTGCGAGGCAGACCAGTTATCTGCGCTTATACTTTTAACCATGTGTAATGTTTTTGGTTCTAATTCCGGTGAAGGTGGCAAAACGTTTAAAACATTACTAGTTCGTGTGACATTATTTTTACTGGTACTTTGCATGGTATATTTGTCATCCATATCTTCCTCAACCGATGGAACAGACATGTCATTTTCTGTATCCAGTTCACTAATACCAACCTTACTAGTTCTACTCTGTGAGTATTTCTGACTGTGTTTCCCAGTCACAAGTATTGGCCACTCTAATACTGGGCTAGAGTTTACTATCATTGATCCTTTCCCTGAGTCACATGTAACATTTGATGACTTCCTTTCATCTTTGTCGCTACTATTACATGCTGTTGCATTGTTTTGATATTTTGGAGCAGAACTGTTACTAGAGACCACCACCGATGATTGGCTGTGTGGATGGGATGGACTGTCTGCGATTGAATCCTCATCTATCTTCCCATGCCTTGGAATGTCTCCAATTTTGGGAGCACGAGCACGTATCACAGGCTGCGTAGAGATGTCTCCTCTTGTCAGCGACTTCCGACAAAAGGCACTTCTTCCTACAGAAAGTAATCAATTAAATATTAACAATTATTATCACAAGAAGACAAAATTATACAGTAGATAAATAAGAGTTTTATACAAATCAAATGATATCTACAATTGATGTGGGTCTATCTGTGTACTGCGTGGACAGAAGCACATCAACAATGTATATAAACAAAAAATGACAATGCTGTCATACTGAATCATCAAAATATTACTTATTTTGATCATAGAAATACCTCTGATTATAAAGCGCATGTGCGAACATAGACGAACAAATATGGTATAAATATATGTAAAATGTAAAAGATATGGATGTTATACAACGAAGAAATACAGGAGTCTTGCTTGCAGAGGAACGCTGTTATTCTGGAGGGCACCGCTGAAAGCAGGAGATGGTTGAAGCCTGTATCACTTGTCTCACAATATTGCAGTAGCTATACACAGTAGAAATGATGGACCCCAACCGTCCTCCGTCTGTCCAATTTATAGGTAAAAATGGCCCAGATTCAGAAACACCACCTGGGTTTCCACATGAGCCAATCAGAATGTGATCTTGCTCGCAGCTGTGTCACATAGGCAACTCAGTAGATCATAAACATTTTTTGTTCAAAAATCGCAGCACACCTGGAAGATTCCAATTCTCCTTCCAAAGTTGTAAACACACTTTGTTATGTAAATCGCAAGCACACTTGGTAGATTCTACTGTCCTTCCTTGCTTTATGACAGTTATCACACGGCAATGCACACCGTTTCTTCCCATGATTCCATGCACACTTCTATTTGCAGGGTTTGAGGTAATACGACAAAAACATAGAATAAAGGATGCTGACACTTAACATGATTTTATCTTTTTTAAATAAAGTCTATTTATTATTTTGATACACACAAACATTGTAAGCACAAAGACTCCCATTGCAAGCTTCCCACTCAGGAGTAAAAAAAAATAGATCGACCAACTGTCAGTCTAAAATTGATTTTCAAATGAGAGATAATAAAGTCATTAATAATTATATAGTAATTTATTCAACATTTAAGAAGATATTATATCACTTGAGCGTTCATAAAACAACAAAATTTCCACTGAGTAATGAAATTAAAGATACTGCATGGTGACATGTTACAATATACAGACACGTTTTCACATTTACACATATTTTAGCACATATAGTAGGAACAACATTCCATGTCAAAATATGTCCATAATTAATCAACTTAAAAATAGTCGACTGTATATGAATATTTTTTGTTCACTGCTAATCCATTTTTTGTCAATAATTTACACAAAATTACATTTTTGCAGCACTGAATAAAAACACACTAAAAATATTGTCAGTTTTATAATGTACCTTGCTTTGTAAGGAAGTATATGATTCATCAAAATTTGGGGATATTGAGAAAAATACTTGCCATAGAAAACAATGCTACATGGAATACATCAGTAAAAATAAATGAGAATGATTTTTACTTCTAGATAGTACTGGTATTCTACCTTAATGTGCAAAAAAAATCAGAACTTACTTGAAATAAAATAACGTTACAACACATTTTTTTTTAACGTAAATGTTTAGTGAAGAACAATGGTCCTATAGAGCTGAATTATATAGCTGAGTTTGAAGCAGATAAAATGGTTAGAAACAACCTTTCCTTACATTCAGTGTCAAATTACCATTTCCTACACCTGAAGACAGCTCACACCAATGACATTACCCACAAAGAAACATAAAGGCATTAAGTGTCCACGTAGCGTAACTATCAGCCACTTACTATGAGTACTACGCAGATAACAGCGACAGAACACTTTGATGACAGGTTCTGATATGAGAAAGAATACATTTTCCTATCTGGCTATTCATTATTAAGGAGATGCTGATGTACCGGGTATTATTTAATTGGGCGTGGTTGAGTCTGAGATATAACACAGCGATCCAAGAAAATTAATGAATTAATTAGATCAACACATCGTTATTTGTTGGATTTGTAAATACCATTTTCTTTTATGATTGACACCTGGTCCATCATGTTTTTTTGTATTAATCTTACCAATGAAGTCAACAGATAGTACAAGTGTACAATTTCACATGAAAACTATTTAATTTCAATGTAGAGATTGATTTTGTTGAACACTTAATTTTTTCATTGTTTGCTGTGAAATTTGAAACAGCTAATTAACGAACATGCGTATTGCACATCACACACATTGGAGGGCAAATGATGTTGCCAATTGCCATTGAATTTTTTATTGAAATATTGTTATCATTGGAAAATGAAAAAAACAAATTGTTAAAAAGGAAATATTATGATTTGTAACCTGTCAAAAGGTTGGTGTTAAAGATGATAATATTGATGTACATAAAGTACAATCTCACCATATTCACTGAATTCAAATCTCATCATATTCACTGAATTCAAATCTCATTATAATCACTGAATTTAAATCTCATCATATTCACTGAATTTAAATTTCACTAGATTCACTGAATTCAAATCTCATTATAATCACTGAATTTAAATCTCACTATAATCACTGTATTAAAATTTCACCATATTCACTGCATTCAAATCTCACCATATTCACTGAATTCAAATCTCATCATATTCACTGAATTCAAATCTCACTAGATTCACTAAATTCAAATCTCACTATAATCACTGAATTCAAATCTCATCATGTTCACTGAATTCAAATTTCATCGTATTTATTGAATTCAAATCTCATCCTATTCACTAAATTCAAGTCTCACTACAGTCACTGAATTCAAATCTCATCCTATTCACTGATTTCAAATCTCACACAATAATTCACTGAATTCAAATCTCATTCTATTCACTGATTTCAAGTCTCACCACAGTCACTTTATTCAAATCTCGTCATATTCACTGATTTCAAATCTCACACAATAATTCACTGAATTCAAATCTCATCCTATTCACTGATTACAAGTCAAAAGGATCTGACTGGTTGAGTTGTTTAAGCTATTTTCAGATTCCTTTTATCCAAATTATTTTATTTTATTTGTTTTGTGTTTGTAGTTATTTATTTTGATATCTACATCTTTCACTACTACTTATTTATTTCTTGTTAAATAAAGCTTAATATAAATGATCAATCAATGTAGGTCAAGTTACATAAATGTCGCTTTCTGTTTTAACATGTTTTTCTGACTGAATACTAGCTATTAAGGAAACCTGTGTATCCATATTTGGACTACACATAGTCCACCATATAAGCCATCCATATTTGGGCTACACATAGTCCACCATTCAAGCCATCCATATTCAGGCTACACATGATCCAGCAAAAAAGACATCCATATATGGGCTTAACACATAGACCAAAATATAAGCCATTCATTTTTGGAGATACATGTAACCATGGTTCTCCATGAACCATCCATAGTAATTTATAAATACAGTAAAACCATGGTAACCATTTGATACAATTTATTACACATACAAGGCCAATTGACAGGATTGTCAATGTCCGCTAAAGTGATTTGAAAAGAACAGGAAGTACAAATGCATTGAATGTCAGAGAGTACAAACATGCTATTTGACCTGCTGAAAAGCATTGGAGTGTTTTTCTCATGAAGGTATGAACAATTCTGTCCTGATTAAACATAATCAGTTCGATTATTTGGAACAGCTTTTGGCACACTCAAATCAAACCACTTCAGCCCTTTCTTAATGTCATTCAAACTTCAAAGTATAAAGTACACTCTACATGGTAAATCTGTGACAAACATTGAGGTTGCAATTTCCCATAAAAAGCAGTGAATGCATATACAATATTAGATGTCGAATCATGTTTATTCTGAAACATTTTCCCCCCAAACCATTTCAAGTGACTTTTCAAGATTTATTTTTTGCAAAATTGTTATTTTTTTAAAAAGGTGTTAATTTTTTTTGCTGACACCGATAGTTTTATTTTTGTTAATAAAGCATGCATATAAATGATGCAGATGTATTCAATGAAGATAATTTGAAATGCTAAACATTGTCTAACTTTTTTTACTACACGGTAATTAGTAGATCGTTATAATGTAGAAACACATATTACAAATTGTGGAGGAAACGATAATTTCACACTTAATTGCTGAGGGAAAGCTTACCAACAAATGATAGGATAGCAATCAATTCTAAATTTTATAATAACATTTACAGTAATTGAAACTATTAAGGCTAACAACAATGGCATAATTGGATACAAAATGTGTAAATTACATGTTTGGATTGAATGAGTTTCTAAGACAAACAGTAGAGACAATTTGCACAAACTTTTCGGAGGCCAATTAGATGCTATCTTATCTATGTGAGTATGCTAAATGTGATGTGAATATATCATGAGCTGAGAAGAACACATGTAGGGTGAAACAGATTATTAATTGAAAGTGAAGAAATGATAAGAGGAATATGTAAACAAAGCAATATAACAAAAAGTAATATTCAAATTACAGTGTACTGTACAATACCCTGCAAGTAGAGAAGATGTATGACAGATGTATTTGCAACTCAAATTTGCAATAAGAAGATCTGAAAATATTTTTTTTTAATATTATAACAACATAAATATTAATATTATAAAATTATTTTCAGACCTGTATCACTATTTATATATAAATTGTATTGACAACTGCATATTGTGTTGCTGTAGTAGCATATTGTATCACCATGGCAATAAGCCATTTTTCACAAGCTGCAAGATCACGCGTGACCACGATTCACGCACCTTAGCAGCCAGTTGATCAATGAATCAGTACCTGCTCTTGGGCAGACAATTTCAATCAATAACAAATCACCCAGGACACATACGTTTTCCCTGCATTGTGGAAGGAAAAGTTTCCATGGAGTTGCATCTCGACCCAATACGGGCGATTGCAAGAGGTGTTGATTGTCATATATTCGAATAGCGGGAGATATAGTCGTCGTCACTGAATCAAGTATTAAAATTAAAACTTGTTTCGAAAATCGCCATGTACTGCAAGTCAACCACAAGCCCGTTACAATGTAATTT